TGTCAAATATCGTGGGCCACATACAGCCCATTCTGATCTTAGGCAGGCTGGACGAGTAAATCTCATCATTGCCCAGATTGTCCTGTAATTATAAAACAAAAGTTTAAAGGCTACTATATAGTTTTTGTTAATTCACATGGTATTCACCTTTTTTTCCTCTCTCTCTTTTGACACTGTCGACCACTTGTAAAAACTGAATTTTTTAATGACATAAATAGTTGAAAAGGCTGCTTATTACATTATTCTGTTGAATGACCATGTGGCAAGTCTTTATCCATAGGAAGAGTTATAAAACTTCTGAAAATAAGTCCAAATATTGTGCCGTTCTATACATGGCTGCTTCCCCTGAGTTTGTTTCTGCTGGAGGTTTCTTCCTGTTGAAAGGGAGTTTTTCTTTCCCACTGTAGCTAGAGAGGGCCATCTGATTGTTGGGGTTTTCTCTGTATTACTGTAGGATTGTTACCCTACAATAATACAGGCTCCTAATCGCAGTATGTGAACACGGCAAGTAGACCTTGCAAGGCTACTCACATGAAATGAGTTACTAATTCTTTTTTCATTACGCTTAATGGTTTTTATTTATTTATTTGTACATATGACAACTGTTATATATGTGCGTTTTAATGCCTCTTAGTACATTTTAATCTTAACCTGAATTAATAGACTCCTCCAAGGGAATATGCTTGTCTATAAAGTGGATCTCAAGGTTAAATTCAATAAATTTTCTTCATTTTTGTGATTAAGAAAGTACGCTGTGTGTTTTATAAACCACCTGGGTCTGGGTGCAATTCCCCCCTCCAGGGGCAAGGGTACCTAGACCCGGTTTGTAGAGTACGCTTGGGGAGTGTGATTGTGTGTACAGCGTCTCTTTATGTCTATCTCCATGTTGGTTGAGTGTGGAGTGAGTGCACATGAGAGCATGAGGGTGGGAATGGATGTTTGTGTCTGTGTGTGCCTGTATGTCTGTGTCTATATGTCAGGTTGGGTATCAGACGCCACCTCTCTGGGGACACCTCAGGCCCTCCAAGGTTTGGAGGCCTATCTCTACCCACCACCACTTCCCCTGCCGGTGGCGGACTCCCTCAGGTGTCGGTGTGCTGGTGGTTCTTTGTGTCTGGGGGTGGGCGTCCGGGTACACACCGGCTCACTCCTTGGCGGCCGCTTGTCGGGGCCTGGGGCCTGGGGCTCGCTCGGGCCCCCTTTGGAGGTGGGGTGCCCCCGGCCTCTCGGCCTGGGGCTCGGTCACTCAGGCACAGCTGGGGGCCGGCGGAGCTCACGGGCGCGTCACTGCAACTCCCCCTGGCTTCTGCTCCGCGGCTGCTGGGCGAGCCCTCATCTGGGACTCTCCTCAGCTCTTACTGGAACAGTGGCGCGGCTGCCCCTCTGTTGGTCTTCCGTGGTCTCTTGTGTTCTGGGGGCCTCTGGATGTCTGGAGTTTTGATCTCCTCCATACCCGCTTCACACCCTGGAGGACGGGGCTGTGGCCCCCCCACACTCCCTAGCAGATCATTACATGGAGAAACCTTTGGAATGCAAGCATGCTGATCCACACAGGTATGCACACAGGTGTACACATGGGTATTCACAGACGCGGACTAAAGCTTTCTTGGCTGCTGCCTCAAAGCACACTGTGCGCTGTCTATCTTGCGTGCTGCACAATATCGTTTATTATTCAGTAACTATTGATATCTATGACTAGCTAGTTTATTGTGATGGTGCTTTGTTTTCTCTATTATTATGTTGCTCTTTGTTGTTTGCTGTCTCCTCTGTTTGTTTTTGTTTGTTTTTTTTGTTTTTTTCTCCATACAGGTGACCCAGGAGTTGTTGTTTTTTTTTTTTCTCCCCCCTTCTCACCGTCTCTTCTCCCCTTTGGTTTTCTTTCTTTCTCTCCCCCTCTTTCTCTCATTCATTCCCCCTGTCCTATTTATTAAAAAAAAAAAAAAAAAAAAAATGACAAAGGATGAACTGAAGCTCTGCCATCACGTAATGTCGCATACTGCTGTTTCTGATGTCATTTAAAAAAAAAAAAAAAAAAAAAAAAAAAAAAAAACGACTGTGTGTTTTATAAATAAAGCTGTAACCCATTCAGAAATTGTCCTTTTTTTATTAGTGTGCACTCAAATATGCAACTCTGTATTTTATCTAGTCAATACTCAGATATTTTTTGGGTATCTGTCCCCTGGTTCATTTTTATGGTGAGAAAAGCCAGTAAAAGTTTCAGGCTTTCACCCGTAATATTTTTTTGTTATATTTATGTTCAGGTATCACTTCAGGTTTCAAAGTCCAAAAGAAAAGGGTCAGGAGCTGCAGTAACCCTACATTAAAGTAATCAAGCATTAAAACTTTGTTTTTCCAATTAGTGTTCTGAAAATATCTTCAAAGATTAAGTTAAAATTTACTTGCGGTGAGGTGTTTCTGTTCTGTTTCTTTGCTTTTGAATGTAATATTTAAAAAAAAAAAAAAAAAAAAAAAAAAAAAAAAAAGCTTTATCTGTCGTGTTGCTGGGGAAAAAAACCCCACAAAAAAAAATCTGTTCTTTTTCTCTCCAAACTGCCCACGAAATGTATTCACTGCTCCATTCGGATTCACACCTTCCACTCTGGACAGACTTCTGGTCTCCAGTCAAAACTAATCTGGTAACGCCCGGGGAGCGCTCGAAATACACCACCACCCAAATGCGTGCCCCCTTATCGGGGTTTAAAAAAAAAAAAGAAAAAAAAAAAAGGCACCACCACCACAAACAGTAATTTCGTTGTTACTGAGCACCGGCACCCTGGGAGCTGCAGAATTGCTCTTGACATTTTGCTGATTTGAGCACCCCACCCCCTGCAATTTATTTACCTTTTCACTAAATGGAAGTTTTCACTGAACTGAGAAAAAAAATTTATTTCACGTCAGGGAGCTTTTCTTTCCATTTTCTAATAATTTAACTTTCAGTTATTCCCCTTTGTATTGCCTAGAAATGTTAATTAAATCCAGTTCATTGTTCTTTACTTTTGATTCACTCGACTTGTTCAAGTGTTAAAATAAAGTTATCCCTTTAAAATTAACACTCTAATCTATTGTAATTCATGGTTCACACACTCCCAGACACCAAACCACACAGTTGCAGCTATTTTTAAGCTCTTGGTCTGATGCAAATCCCGACAAATCCCTTTGGCTTAGACGGGGTATGACACATCGTGCCTGGCAGCGAACGTCCTCCACAAATCAGAAGCCGCTCTCCGAGTATCCTCATGAATTTTACAGTGCAATCAGTGCAGAATATATCAAAAACAGCTTTCCATCAGTGCAAGTAAACCTAAGAGACTCGAAGGCTACTTAAATGTCACATCCTGAGTAGATTCCCAGCTTTTCTTCCCCCTTATATTAGTCGTCAACATGGCAGCTCAAAGACTTTTCTCTTTCTATTCTCCGATCAATACTTTACAATTAGAGGAACCAGAAAATGGCTTTTATGGTTGCTTTGACTGGAACTCATTCCACAGCATTAGCATAATATATTGCAAGTGTGCAAGGAAGCTACTCTAATGCTGATGCCTGCCTTGGATCTAAACCACATTTTTCCTGTTTTTCTGATTATACAACAACTTCTCTTTTCTTAATCAGACAACGCTACCTCAGAAAACGACTCTGTGCCCCACTGACCTTGAAAATTGAGCTTTCTAAACATTTTAACAGAGTAAAAAATAGTATTTTAAACTTCTCCTAACCATAACATAGTTGTTTTTGTAACTAAACCTAATTTAAGCTGTTGTCACACATGAACTCCAGATAACAGATAACAGATAAAATCAAGTCTGCACAGAGGTGGTCTCAGTTTAGCTGAGGTTTAGATGAAGCTGCTGTCTGGGTACAGCTCACAGGAGGCAGTGCGCATGACGCCTATTTGCTTGCTGTGAATTCTCCATACGCATTACATTCTTGCCTAACTCTGCAAAGCCAGGCTCTGGTCAAGACCCAAAGTGGTCCTGACGTGCAAATTGTTCCCCTGACCTGATTTCAAGTGAAAGACTAATCGATCTCTCAAGCAACTGATTCCCTTCAGGATCCCTGGAGCCAAGTCTTTCTGTTTTACTGGGCAAAGTAAATGACTAGAGGTCTTTGAGCCTCAACAATCTCAATCTATTCTCCAACTTTAAATGCATAAGAAGCACAGCTTGCTGGCTTGTGGCCAGGTGTGGTATATGAAAAGCACAGTGGGACGCTTTTTGTAAGAAGAACTGGAGGGCAGGATGAACTAGCCCCAGGAAAAGTGTGGATACAGACAGCGGGACGGTGACCATGGAAGCTGGAACCAGCTAATGAGTGCGTAATAACTCACCAGCCAAGTCAATTCTGTTTGTGAGTAGCAGCCAATAAAAAGAAAGCTACCTGAAAAACAAGGGTCTCCTTAAAACAAGAGCTAAAACAGGACTGCACCAAGGCCTTGTATAACATTGTTAAATCTGAAAACTGTGAATTATGCAAAGCACTTTAATAGAATCCAAGAATAAAAATACAGAGCTGGAAATGGCCTTAGTGGGTCTCATTTAAAAGAAGTCTAACGGCCCCAGAGTCAATCTCCTGGTCAAAATTAAGACGCGTTTGTTCCACCTCTGCTGCACCTCTCTCTTAATAACCTCTTAAAAGTGGAAAGACACTTGTAGGCTGATTCAGGAATCCTTATGTGGACTGTTACGAACACTGCAAACAAAAAAGCATCACGATTGTTTAGTTGTTGCTCTGAATATGCAGGAAGGATTCGCTCGTATTGAAAGCAAAACCAAAAAAAGTTTCTTTAATTATTAAATAAAACAGAACTTTTATATTTTCTCCCTCTTATATCAAAGCCGATCTTTCTTGACTTTATTATGCACCACCCTGCAGGAATCACATGCACTGTCTATCTATTTCAGTTTGAACCCTCGAGCCAGCTACCAAACATGATCCAGATGGCTTCATGATCCGGCACGAAAGCAGCACGGAGACGAGGGCTGGAACAGCTGGTTTAGACTGACCTGTGTTACTGTGGCTGAAGACTGCCATGGTCTGTCCACCCACTGGGTGCATTGTGAAGGGATGATCCTTTGGGACCTCCAGTGATGCATCGTTCTCCCCCACAGCATCCAAGGCTATCAGCTCGTCACTGAGGCTGAAACATACCTGAGAAACAAAGCTGGAGGTCAAACACGATGCACTGAAATCATATCGATCCATCAGAGGGAGGTGGGTCAGAGCAGCAGCAGACAGTGATGGGATGTAATATAGAAGAAAGAAAGAGTAAAATTACACAAAGCTAGCTGTGATATAATCTTGATTTTAAATATAGAATATATAGGTGGGACTGCGGATATTTGGACAGTGACACAATTTTAATAATAATAATAATAGGCCATCACAGCAGATACAAAACAATCGAGTTTCAGCTCAAATGAAGGGCAGACTCTCAGCTTTAATTCAGCTGGTTAAACAACAATATTGCATTAACTTTTAAAGTCATTTTAAACACAATATTTTACACGTTGGTAATAAAACCTTTATTTTTAATACTTTGTTGACAAACCTTTTGCAGGCGATAAATACCTGAAGCCTGAAACACTTGACACCAACAAGAAAACTGTTTTCGACTTTGTGATATTTTTTTATTTTTCTTATAAAAGGTGTAATTCCTAAAACCCTCAAATTAAACCAGAGTCTGCACTTTAAGTCATTAATTCACAAGATAAGTGCAAATATTTGGTACACAAGTTAAATATTAAAAATGATACCTATGTCCAAAAATATGAAACTAACTTGATTTAGTATGAAGGTGTGTATATCATTAGAAACAAGCCGTTCCTGCTGATCTAAAAAAAACAGGAAGAAAACAGGCGGAAAGGCCTTTAAAGGTCATCTCATTGTAGTTAAAAACCAGCGTGTTTTATTCAAACATTTAACCAACAAACCAAATCATCCAAAGCTGACTCACCTCTGTTTTGCCTTGCTTCCTGTCGGAATTGTGAGAAAACAGAATAATTTAACATTTCATTAATCTCAATAAGTCAATAATTACAATTTTCCCACAGCTACAGCCAAGATTCAGTTTATGATGATGATGATGATATAAACATTCAAAAACTGCCATTTTTGTTAAAAAAATACTTTTTTAAAACAGCTGCTGAACAATCAGCTAATCACTGCAGCACTAACACTAAAAACTAATATGGACACATCCACACTGCGGTACCTACTTTCCAATTGCAATCTTTCCAACTTCTCCCTTTTCTGCAGCTTTGTCCCACTGCTGAGATAAATACTTGGGAACCTGGAGAGAAATGCACCAGTTTAAAGACATCATAAGAAGAGTGCGTTCATGTTTGGGGGAGTTGCTCTTCTGGCTGTTGTGTTTACCTGAATTTTAGTTGACCAATTCATATGCTGATATTTTTCCTACTGACTGAGATCTATAGGTGGTAGGCATAGGGAAATAAAATGAATTAAAATAATCTGCTGTCACTTTGTTTTTGTCCTGGTTAAATGCAATAACACACCCGATGTGCATCTTTAGGGTGAACTATGCATTGACGGTCATAGCATGGTTGAAGGACGTTTCTCCCATTGCTGCTGTTTTAAATACAGATATCGATAGATGATCAAATGGCTAGTTTAGTCCCCTTATCAAAGGGCTCTAATCATAAGTATCACATGCACTGGGAGCTAGCACCATTAGCTGCCGCCTTGAAGTTGGAAAACAACACAGTTTCTGATGTAATCCCAGAGGTACGAGTCCAAGATACCTGATGAAAAGCTTAAACCACTTCTTGAGTATAACATCATTATCTGGATATTTTCTATACTTATTTTTATGAATGTTTTCATCTTAAACTTTTTGGACTGAGGGAGAAAATGTCTTTGATGTGTTATTTGGGAGTAAGATTCATTTACAGAAAACAGATGTTTTATTTTATTACTGGAAATTTGCAGTCATTTTAAATTTTATTTTATATTCAGATAATCTGTGAGGGAAGTGCTCACCCGTTAAGGAATTAAACAATGAATAACCAAGGGAATAAGTCACAAAGCCATCCTCTAATTTATTTTGAATATCAAGCATATGCATCCCTTTTCTCTTTATTCTCTTCTCAAGTCACAATTATTTGTACTTCTTGTATTGCAAGAAATATTTATTAGACTTAGATATTGATAAAGGACAGCTTCAAATCTTGCTCCGATTCTTCCAAGTGGGCTAATTTTTTCCCTCCCCATTACTACGATACCACGTGAATGCACAATAAAGTCAAGGCTTCAGTTGTTTTTTCTCTTGGTCACACACACACAAACATATTCCGCTTAAACATCTAACGTAAAACAATAAGTACGAGCACTTGTTAAAAAACAAAACACAACAACAACAACAACAACAAAAAACGTTTTTCCAAGTTCATGTGAAGTTACCCGCACCCGGAAGCTCGTTTTTCCGATTATTCTCACGCGACATGAATGCGCAATAAAAGTTCTGTAGCTTCAATCCTTCGATCAAGTCGACACCTTTAAGTAAGGTGAATTATTTAAAAAAAATCACTTTTCAAAGCAGTGCCTGTGTGTTACCAATAAACTGATAACACCTGTGAACGTCTGTGAAGATGAAATGACGTCGTGATTTGATCATTTTCAGGTAAACAAACCTTCACAAGCCACACGCCTTTACTTTGTTTGACTCCAGTCAGGTCAACCTCCATTTTCTCTGACATCGTTTTAAACAGTAATGCGAGAATTGGCTAAATAAACAAGTACAAACAGGGACGCCTGGTGACCGTTCAATTTACTCAGGAGTATCCAATTAGGCAGGGGAGGCTTCAAAATAAGACTTCCTGTTCTATCTTTCAAAATAAAACGGATTTTTATGATTAAAAAAAAAAATACTTGCACAGAAATGTTAAGTCTTGGCTTTATTATGTAAAATAGCCTGAGGCTGATTATACCTCGATCCTTATCCTTTCATGGAGAAAAGAAAACCACTTTATTTTCCTCCATTATCTGCAGGTTCACACATAGATTAAAAAAAAGTTTCTCTTAATACTCTTAATATTTTATTATGTAACGTCCTCATGCGTGACCATTTCTGTGGACAGATTTTCAGCTCTCAACATTTTGATTAATGTGGGACTGTTTGCTCTTTAAAGACTTCATTTATCACGGATCTGCTGGGGGAGAAGTAATGACATGACGGGGACAAATGCCACAGGCTTCTGTGATTTTATGAGCTACAGGCTGCCTATTAAAATTACATGACATCCCATGAGCAAGACAGTGATTAAGGGTTGTGATCTTAAGCCTTCTCCATCCAAGTCTTAGACTATTTCTTCTAAAATAAGCCTTCAGTATGTGCATATTTAGATTAGATTGAAAAGTAAAGAAGTTAAAATGTTAAAAGGAAGCTCAACAGCTAATTATGTCCACTTTTTTTTTTACAATAATTCAGCCATAATGGACAAGTAATCATATGGTTGCATCAAGCAAAATATACTTAGGTCAAATAAGGACTGAACGACGGTCTAGACCTCTGAATCATCACTCTCTCAACATTCAAAGAGAGCAAAGAGAGTCTGATTGTCAGGCCACTAAAGTCCAGGGTCAAGCGCTGCAATGAAAGCATTATATGTGCACGCTGTAGGTGGCTTTAAAGGACACACTGCTGAAGCCCCCAAGTTTCTTATATCACAGCATAAACAACCTGGTGAAAAGTACAAAATTGACGGACATCTCAGTCTGCAAAGGTGTGAAAATAATGATCGCTGCAAATTACTGTGCCTTAAGTTTAAGATTTCCTCAAGTCTTCCTCATCTCCTCTCTTTTTATTGGTCTTCCTCACATCTTTAAAGGAAAGCACAGAGACACAAAGAGACCAAGTGAGGATGTGCAATTTGAAAGGTTAGGTGGCGTCTGTGTTGTTGTTTTGTGCTGTGCCCTGTTTTGTCCTGCAGGAGCTGATTGGAGGGCAATTAGCTGCATGAGCTACACCTGAGCCCAGTGTGCTCAGATATGAAAGCTTCTCATTTCCCTGATTTCTCTCCTTGCATCTTACTCTCTCTCACCAGTGATGGAAATAGAAGAGCTGAACAAGAGACGGTCGCTTAATGAAATGAGACGCCCTCGCCTTGGAGCAGCAGCAATTTAAAGCGGTGTCAGTTAACTGTGATGCTTGATATTATTTTGTAATAATAAACACTGCAGCTATGTTTTAATATCTCAGGTGTAACTGAGCTCACGACTGTCTAGAACCTCTTTTAATTAAACTCAAAATATGGCATATATATAAATATTATCCTTGTTTTTAATCACACACACAGGAACACTTAAAAAGCTGAAAGTGTGACCATCTTAATTAACTAAAACAATTTATGAATGCAAAGATGAGCTGTTTAGTGAGTCCTTCCACCCTGGTTTGTATATTGCAGCAACTTTTGTATAAACTGAAAGTACTGCTGTAGAGGATAGACCTGTGCAGCTTCGATTATATATCCTCTGGTTAGCCTCCTCTCTTCTCCAAATGCATTTAAAGTGTTGAGACACACTTCAGTGTGGGGCACTGAGATTGATTTCCAGGTCACAGGCAGGAGGTGAGAGGAGAAGCCCTCTATCTCCCACTATGATCAGCCTGGCTGCAGCAAGCTCCTTAGGTTTCTTTATTTTGCTTTCCCAATACACTGACACTTCATTAGGTATGCTCCTGCTGCTCAACTGCTCGCTAACACAAATATCAAATCAGCCAACCACATAGGCACAACATAAAGATTGTTAGGTCAAGGCAAACTGCTAAAGTTCACACCGACCATCATAATGGGGCAGAAAGGTTATTTAAGTGAGACTGAACGTGATATGGTTTTTTTACTTCTATTTTATCAAAATTGTTGATCTTTTCGGATTTTCCAACACAGCTGTCTCTGGGGTTTAAAAAAGAGAAAAATGTCCAGTGAGCCACAAACCTGTGGGCCAAAGTGCCTTTGTGATGTCAGAAGTCACAGAAGAATGGCCTTGTGGACAACAACCAAGTTGGCAGAAGAGCATCTCTGAGTGTATAACACATTGAACACAATTTGACCCAATTTGCTATTTCTAGGTCATCTCTGTTTACTTGAACATGACAGCAAGCACTCAACTGTCCTCCACACTCATCTCAATCAATCAGTCACTCTGAACAGGAATGTTGCAGGAAAACAGGAAACTGTTTGAAGCATGCTGGACCAAAATCTCAAAAAGAAGACCTTACACGAATACAGAGAAAGTAGAGAAAAAACCCAACAAATTACCCCTTATGAGCAAGCACTTGGCGACAGTTGGAAGGAAAAGCTCCCTTTTAACAGGAAGAAACCTCTGGCAGAATTAGGCTCAGGGAGGGGCAGCCATTTGTCACGACCGGTCGGGGTTAAGGGGAAGAAGCTGGGACAAAAACAAGCTGTGGAAGAGTACCAGTGATTAAAATTAGCTAATGATTAAATGCATAGTGAGTGAAAAAGAAACACTCGTCATGGGAAGCCCCCAGCTGCCTAGGTCTATTGCAATGTAACTAAGGGAGGATTCAGGGTGACCTGATCCAGCCACAACTAAATGCTTTATCAAAAAGCCTAATCTTAAATCCAAACAGGGAGATGCTTCCACAGAAAAGATGCCTAGAAGCTGAAAGTGGGTTCAAATTCACATAAGCAAAATATGCCCAGTGAAGTCACAGGTATATATACACATGTTGTCTTAATGTAATAATGTTTTCGTAAACACATTTCATGTCTCTCAGTCCCCGTTTGAGATTGTGGGCTGAGTTTCACCGTTTTTTCCTAAACCACTTCACTGAATGAATCACCTCGAACAATTTTCAGCTGCATTTAGACACAATTTGCAGATCTGTTTTAACCTTTTACAAAGCACGTTTTACGCAGTGATTCACTTGTGATGCGTAATGACAACAACAGGTGGCCCAAATTAAACCACAACACAGATGCCATTTCTGAAACACAGCAACTCAAAATTGTCCACACTTGTTGCTGCTGAGCCGACTCCAGAACAGCAATTTTACATAAAACCTGTTTTTTTTTTCATAAAAGTGTCCTTTACATTTTTCTTATATAAGATGATGTTTACTTGAGTCATCCTTCATATAATTATGAGAAAACATGGTCACTTTCAAAAGAAAATTATAGTATGAGGCATATACATGCATTGGTGATCCTCTGTTGCCACTTTTACTGTTTCCTGATGTTTCATCACTTTGTATTGACAGAGGAAGCTGGGGAGGGGGGTTGTTTCTGTTTTACTTCATATTTTTTGCCATTTTAGTCTAATCCAACCACGGGGAACAGCCGCACGTCCTTCTTACTTGATCTGGTGTGCGATGGCTGGTCAGCTGTGTTTTTAATATGACTGGCTGTGTGTGTGATCTGAAACATTTATTTGGTTTTGAGCATAAATAAAACTGTTCCGGCATGGTTGAAGTTTTTCTTTTCTTTATTTTTTCCAAAGGTGTTCAAGGTTTTGTGAAACTGAGCTTTGTGTTTGGAGTCTTTGGAACAGATGGAGGGTTTCAAAGACTCCAGGAAGGCTGAGTGCTTCAAAGGAGGCGAGAGAGGATGACAGTGTGACCTATAGTTCTCCTGATACTCTGCAAGATTTAACTTGGTGAAACTTTAACTATAAATATACATTTCTACACACCTGTTTTTTGTTATTGTTATTAGTGATATTAATGACTGAACCACCATAATAGTGATTTTATTATCATTATAACAATAGAAATGTGAATACACACACTCACTAATCTAAACCTGTTGTGTAGGTTTAGATTAGTATAAAAATAACAATAATAATAATTCAAAAAGGCAGAACTCAGACCAGACCCAGCATAGAGGAGCTGTTTGTTAGTTTAGGTATTAATAATTAAAACATGTTAAAAGTTTATTTTTATATTGCAAAAATGGGAAATATAATTCTTTGTTAGGAGAAATAGATAATAATTATTGGTACCCAAGTCCAGGCTCTCTGAGTTTGGATAATAAACAACCTTTATTTTTGTTGGCTAGACCCATTAAAAATACACAAACAAGGATCGAGTAAGGCCTTCTTCAGGGTTTCCTTATGAGTTGTTGTTTTTTTGTCTATAAGTGGCGAGCTGAGCAGAGCTCTACTCTGGAAACTGGGAGAGAGAGCAGCAAACAAACACAATGACACATGAGGAGAAGATGGTTAAACATGAACAAGATGAAGAAAATACAAAATAAGAGTTGTGCTACTGTGATGTAAACATGTTTTTTTTTGTATTTTCTTCTGCTACCACCTTAATCTTTACAGCCTGGCCAGCAGGGGCTTAATTGGAGAATAAAATCACAGGTTTATGTTTAAATAGTGCCAGTCCACAGAAACAGTCATCTCAGAGCAGGTAAAGACCTGATGAATCAGTGATCCCTTATGAGCAAGCGACAGGTGTGCAGGTGAGCAAACAGCATGTAGGAGACGAACAGAGAGCCACACCTGGACACACAGAGAGAAAGAGAACTGAGAAAGGGGAGGCAAAACAGACTAGGAGCCTCAAACCTCTCGTCTCCAGCGGCTTCCTGCGACTCTGACAAAAAAAAGCCCTGCAGGTGTTATTCATGCGTCACCCTCATGAAAGGGCACAAATACATTTTTACATTAATGCACCATGATAAACACCATCATCAGAAATATCAGTAACAGGAACACAAATGTGGATGGCACTGTGTAGGATTATGACTGATTTACTGACCTTTATCCTTCAAAAGAGAGCTGTGGAGATTGTTTCTGATACTTCACCGTTTGCCCGGTACG